GCCAGTATGGCGGGCCAGCCCGCCCCGCCCCGCCAAATGGCGGGTTTCGACGGGCTACGGGCCGCCCCGCCCCGCCAGCCCGTTTTGACATGTCTAAGTATGAAAGACTATATATGAAGACTATACGTGTGCATTTGGTGTTTAGAATTTTGGTATACCAAGAAGTGTTGGAGAGATTTATGACTATTTTAGCCTCTCTCCGTCTTTGTGCTTTATGCAAGTGCATTGGGTTGAATGACTCACCATTTTATTGGAAGTGCCATGTTAATACCAATGCAACTCCATCATATAAATGAAAATGCGGTGGAGCTCACATATTTCATTTAACACATGTTGAACGACAATGTTAAGAAAAAAGGTGGGAAAAACTTCCAAAAATAATATAATACAACTTGAAATTGGGTCCCACATATATATAATGAACCTGAAATGAGAGAGGAAACGTTATAGGGAATCCGACATGTATCAGTATTATATTTAAATGTATTGTATTAATGAATGTGAAAGAATGTTTGAATTGTGAGATATTAATGAAATAATGATGTGGATATAACGTGAAAGAAAGATGAAGTGTTTGGTGTTTAAATGAAGGGGAACGGATGATGATGCCCTTATATGTTTGGTTCCGTTGTATGATTCAATCTATATTTATCAAATGGACCAAATGTTAGTCGATAATTTTCCTCTCAATTATTTGAATCAAAATTAGAGCGACCTTTCAATTTTCATTCTAATACATAAAATAGTTTACAATATGTTTCAAACCATTAAGCTCGTAATATTTTGAAAGGTTATGATTAATTAATTCAATCAAATTATTTTATTTACTAGTAAAAAATAAAAGGTTTAAATAATACCATACCAAAATCAAATCACAGTTTTATATCCAATCAAATCATTGTAATTTAGTATACATTCTTTCTATAAATACACTGACATTCTATAGAATATTATGTTATCATAATTGTTATTCATTTAATGGAGTAACTGACGAAAAAAAATATGCTTCCCATCAAATACTTCTTAGTTATAGAAAATATTATCTGCAGGATACTATTTTTTTTTTTTTCTTTTTTTCAAACGATAGGAATTCATAGATAAAACAAACAATTTACAACACAATTAGGTATACAACTGTCTTAATTTTGATGCATCTCTTCCACATTAATTTAATAAAGATATGTGGAAAACTAATATGAATATTAAAAAATATAAATACACATAGTTACTACAAACAAATACATGAATGTTTTGATGTTCTCGATTAGGCTCATTCGAGTTTTATACTCTTTTTTTGTCGCGAATAAATTAGGTATTTAATATTTATATCGTGATCATACTTCGTTCACCCTGCCTGCATTGTGATCTTCTACATTTTCATTGCTATTATTGAAGTTTTTAACTATAGAAAAATGAACTCACTGACTCCCAAAACGGCAGTTAAGATATGAAGAGACAACACTGAAATGAATGCAACAACCAACATCTTAAAAAGAAATTCCGTCCCTAAACAACTCTTTTGTGATATTACATATTAAACCAGACAACCAGAGATTGAAATAAGAATGGTATACAAAAAAATACATAAACACAACNNG